TTATGATTGCACAATTTTTTTTGCTTGGCCACTAAAGATTATGAAGCAGGTATCTAGTCTGTATTTACAGAGGTAAAGAAGTATCTGCGGCAATAAGATTTTTTTCACTGTCTCAGGTCTTTACTGTTCCATTTATTATTTTTGTCACCTGAATGCCAATCCAGATCTGCTGTCAGAGTTAGAGACTGATGGCAATTTTAGACTCTTGTTAAGCATTTAAGCTGTTTCCTGGCCACGTTAAGCCCTACATAGTGCTGCTAAAAGAAAAGTGGGCCTGTGCTTTATGTTCATTCAGGCAGGCTGACAGGTAAAATGGATGCTGATGAACATTATGTGAAGGGCTGGCTGGTCTCAGATCTGTGCCTCAAGGGATCGCTTGGTCACCATGGCAAATATTCGGTTGAAGTCAATTTGATTTGTATAGATTTTGGCTGAACCGATTATGGGAAGGGGTCGGGATGGAAAACTTTTCAAAATGTGAACATCTACCAGCCACTGACAGATAAATGTTCAACTTCACCAATCATTAAATCATTATGTTGTGTCTGAACTCTACCAAACCTTTTCATGCTTTGCCAGACTTCGTCTGGTGGCTGGTGCCAATTTCCCCACTCTGGAGGAAGTAGGGAAATAAGAAATCCATACATTTTAGTATTTCGCTATCTCTGGGCACTGTGCATGGATACATTTGACCTAATGTGTATAAAACTGCCTACAACCCCATGTTTCTATACACATCAACATAAAGTAAATGGGCAAATGGCAAATGAATCTCCACCCTAGTGTTGTGCTGACCGAAGCATGTGATCTCTATGGTCTATTATCCAATGTTGAACTCTGAGAACTTGCAATTCTATAAGCACTACTTGTATGGTTGCCTGTGACCTTAAACTGTGAGGTGAGCTGCTATTGACGTTTATATCGCCAAGCGCCTAAGGGGCATCAAACAAGACATAATGACACCAGCCACAACACCAGAGCCTTTACTACATTTATGTTGTAGCTACACAATTACCTCTCATAAGGAATCCATTAGCCCCGTTCACATTAAGGAGGGAGGTGGAGAGGAGGACACTGTGACTGTAGGAGTAAAGGAATAACAAAAACGGAGTAATCCGTTACATGTGAATGTCACAAGGCAGACATTTTTTTTTTATCCTGGCTACTGCCGATTTATACTTCACAACATTGGTTCAACGTCTGACCAGCTCATGAAAGCTAGTGCATCATTTGTCCACTGCAAACACATGGTGTCTGGTGGGTCTTTCCTGGGGGGAAAACCTCCACCACACAGGGAGCGTTGTGTTTTGTTTGAAATAAGCAGAAGAGAAACTGGTTAGTGCGAACACCACTGTTTAACAGACAAAGAGAAAATTCAAGAGAAAAGACAACAGAGTACTGAGCTGTTTGAATTACAGGACACCTCGGAAGTGCAGGAATACTGCAGCAATCAGCACTTGCAACAAAACGTGGGAGACAAAAAACAAAAATCTAAGAGAGTATTGCTGCTGCCACGCTTCAAATTTAAATCTCTGTGTATCCGTTAGAATCGTAATGAACCAGTATCGGCTAAAGTAAAGACGATCAAACTCTGACGTGGAATGTCCACCTCAACCTGCGAGTCTTGCAGCACTGCTCTCTACAGCTGGGTTCTACGCTGTAAGAGGAGTGCAAATTAAAAGAGTGTGAAGGTGACTGAGTCCTGACACTGAGGTTGGTAAAAAACACCAACAAACCTCTTATCCATCCTCCTTGTTTCTTAGTAGCAAAGAGATCGGCCTCAGCGTCGGCAGATACTAGTATTAAAACACTCAGTTTGGAATCATCCAAAAAAAAATTTAAAACGTCATCGGCACATCCCTACACATTACCAGCTGTTTGAAAACATCCTTCAGCTAAGCCTGAGCTTGTCTATGACAAGGGATTGTGACAAGGGCTCATCTAAATCTGACAGCAGTGCAGATTAAACTGGAATCAGTATCCAAATATTTGTCTGAACTTTGAAAACCCCTATCTACAGTGTTGATTCAGGACAAGACCTAGCCAAACGAGCATCACAGCTTGCCAAATATAAATATATCCCCGACTGGCATCAATACACCCTGAAACGGTTGCAAACTGGACATAGTCAACAGAAAGCAGTATTATCCATCTGTCCAAACCTACCTCTACTATGCTTGGCAATGCTGTACTCTATATCTTACGGAAAGGCTCTACACACTCCACCCCCAAATCATGCTTGAAGAAACAAGTGGAGCAGTTTAAGGGCCAATTACAGGAAAATATCCCTTTAATATCTCTAGACTGTATTAGCCCATTGTGGTTATTGTTGTACATCAATGAGCAGAACTGCTTTATAGTTATACTGAATTTTTGGATCAATGTTAAAAAGAACTTTTTTTTTATTAACAAGGGAATTCATTTATTGGATTATCTATTGTGGGAGGTTATTTTCTTTTTTAGCCTTTTTATACAAACAAATAATTAATTAATTGAGAAAATAATCAGCATATTAATCCATTCTAAAAGAATGATCTAAATGTCCTTCTAAATTTGTACAATATTGCTCAAAACCTAAACTAGGGCTGATTATTTTCATTGTTGATCTTTTCCTTAATTAATTGATTAGTTGTGTGTAATAACGGTGAACAATGTCAATCAGTGTTTCACCATCCTCAATAGTCTTGTTTTGTCCACAATCCAAAGATATTCACTTTACTGTCACAGAGGACCAAAGAAACCAGAAAATATTCTCATTTAAAAAGCTGAACCAGATCACTGTTTTACTGTTTTTTTTTGTTTTTTTTCCTAAATTGCTAAAACCAATTAAATCAATTAACAAAACAGTTGGCAATGTATTAGCTGACAACAGATTGATTAATCAGTTAATCGTTGCAACTCTAACCTATCCATATCAGGGCAGGGACGCAACATCACTTTTTAACACACGTTGACTGAAACAGTCTTAACATTTTTTTTATGCGTGTTGTAATGAGACACCACTGCACAAATTATTTTATAAGCAAATAAACTCCATGAATTGAAAAGAGACACTGGAAACATTTTACTCAAAGCAACAATGTGTGAGTTTTTATGAAAATGTGTGTGTGTGAACGCACACATGCATTCCATATTATCAGGAATTAGCTTACATTTCAAAATAGTGTGCTGCACCTTGAGGCCCCCATGCATCTGTTATCATTTTACAACCTGCCTGTAACTCAGCAGAGAACAAACCTCCTGAGCACAATGTGCTCCACTAAGCACCTCATTACAGAAAAAGGTCCTTTGTATCCCACTGAGGTAATAGGTGGGTGGGAGGAACCTTTTGATGAAGGAATCAACACAGCAATGTGATTGTCCCTTTCAAGACAAAACCTCTCAACTTCCAGCTGTTTCCCGATTTGTAAAACCGTGATAACCTGTGCGTTGACTCCATGGATTTAGTGCAGGCATTGTGAGAAGGTGACACTGAGAAACATACGTCTATATTACTAAAGACAAGAGGCCATGCGCTCAGAAGGTTTTGGTCCAACAGCGACGGGAGGTAAGTGGTCACTGAATCATGTTATTGCAGGGTGTAGTGTGGTGTGTTTACTCACAATGTAGGAGAGCAGCAAGGCAGTATAATCACAATGTGCCAAAAGAAGGCGAAAACAAGCAAACAATACAAACAGCGCAACCAAACCACAACAACACAGCATGCTCTTCAATGAATAAAACATTAACTTTCTAATCTAATGGTCATCAATGCATCAAATCTGCCAAAGGTACATTATCTTTCATCATATTCAGTGGAGTCAACACTACAAAAAAAAGAGACTGGAACAGTCCCTGTAATTCAAGCTCAGCACTACAAGCACAGTCATACAGCTGCAGTGTTTTTACATACTATGCAAACAAAAAGTCCACATAGAAAGGCCAACAGCTTGTGTGGAAAAGAAACATCTCAGATAAAAATTATTTTAATAAAAATCTGTTTACTTTCTCTCCCAGCTCAAGACTCAGAAATCCATTATGTCCATACTTGAAGCTGCTATAGCTACGCTTTCAATGACATCTAAATAGTTATGTATTCTTATTTAAAATGTTTAAAATGTTTTTTGGTTTTTTTTAAAGAAAGTGAATGCAAAAGTGAAACACAAAAGCTAAAAAAATCCAACACAAATACAATGATAATGCTGGGCAATGAGGAGAAAGCTCTGAGATCACAAATGGTATATCCACACAAATTCCACAACAGCAACACAGTTAAGTTCACTGAAATGAACAACAAAAACACAACAGAGTGCTTTTTCCTTCACACTGGATGTGGCACTCCGATAACTTGATAGTTGCTATTACCTGACAATACACATGCATACATACAGAACAGAAAAACTTTTCAGCATACTGTCCAGTCTATTCTACCCGGGTCCACACTCCACTCAGCTCCATGCTAATCTGTCCCTTTGTCTTCCCCGCCTGCAAACAGGAGCAGCCTCCTCCACATCTGACTGACAACATCCAGGACGGAAGGCATGCAACACCCTCCTCGCACTTCTATAACCGCGTCACAACACCCATGCGTAGCACACGAAGGCAGAAATACATCTAATCCTGTGTAATAAACCTCATTTGGGTTTATTTTCCTATCGGCGTTTTTGGCTTTGCAGGGATTTGCGCACTGGCCCTGCTGCAGGCAGGCAGGCAGGCATACACATGTGGAATGTGGAGGGAAGCACCCGCCTTTAACAATAACAGCACACACAAAACATAACCGGGACAGGGCTGGTGTAGAAGTTGTGCTGAAATGCTAAATGAATCTGCGATGTTAAAACTTCCAAACAGCGAGGAAACAAAGAGAAAAGCTGCCAGATTTTTTTTTTTTTCCTCCTTGTTGTTGCTCATGTGCGGCGGCTAGCCCCCAACATTAACATGCTAACCGACTCTCTGGTTCGTTTCTGTCACAGAAGGAAAATAAAAATTCAATAAAAACCAAGCTGGTGAATGTCTCTTACCTGATGTGGCATATCAACCTTCACTTTGTGCAGTAGCAGAGGGAGCCCCAAATGTTGGAGCCAGGTCGCCAATTTTTTTTTTCCCCCCGAGCCAGTGGAGTTGAAGGGCCTTTTAACAATTTTCCCCCACGCTGAAAAACTTTTGCTCCGTATAAAACCAAACTGTCAACAGAGAAGAAAGGAGGAGTGATGAGGCAGGGCTATCTAACGGTCAGTCGGGGGGCTGGGAGTTGGGTAACGTTAGAGCCCCGATGACGTCCCGTTATTTCTCGCATGGACACGCTGTTACGCCAAGCGTCATTTAATAAATCTGGCAATTCAATAGTTGCCTCGCTAACGCGGATGCAAACACCCACTGAGGAGCAAAGACTCCGGACCTTTCGATGCAACACTTCAACCAAACTCAACTTTAAAAAACTGTTCCCACTGCTTGCTACCATCCTCCACTGCGTATTGAGCTGGGGGGGTGGTGGTGGGGAAAGTGGCACTAAACGCAGACCCATAATTTAACATGTTAATGGGAGAGGGGCTTGCTTGGACCCTAAACATTTACATGTCTGAATACAGGTTGTACATAAGCCAACACGCCCGGCCATATTCAATTGGCACATTTTAGTAAAAAGGGGGTTTCGCCCGCTCCCCTTTCTCCACACATGAGCGGACAGAACCTTGACACTGGCTAGCCAAAACGTCAGCAGTACCAGCAATACGAGCATTACTACTCACACACCGTGGGTAATATATTGTGTTACACAGCGGGGTGACTGTGAAATGGCCTCTCTACAATGACACCACGCCAAAGCTGACTGAGTACATTGTTTGTGTCTAAATATTACAGCCCGCTAGAGAGCAATAACAACAGCTAACGCTACGTTAACAGCAGCACACTTTACTGGCCCCAAACGCGCGTGTGCCACTCGGCCTGAAAGCACTTCTCAGCAAAACGAAACGCCAAAGAGCAAAAACTACAGTGCCACTACATTGTGGAGACACCTTTCACTACGCGGGACACTCCAGGAAACAGAAAAATAACTTACATTAGTCCATGCGAAGAGAAACGTAAGCAGACACTCTGTTAGTCCAGTTTTTTAGATCTGTATCAACATAGATGGACTGCACTTCTCCATAGTCCCGCCCCCACGGTTTACAAGCAGGCATATCTATACATATATATAATCCCCCCCGGTGTCCAATCACAGCTCTCCACTCCGGAATAGGGTCTGCTCCCATTGGTCGAGAAACGTATCAGTCTCAAGATGAGTCTCCAGCTGTCTCCTCACCATATAGGGGTGTGTCGTGACGTAGCGGACAGCCTGATTGGTAGTAAACAGTTTCGTAAAAAATTATGGTTAATAAAGCAAATTAAAATATATAATTAAACGTCAAGATTAACTATAAAATAACCTGAAAAATAATCCTGGAGCGTTTGGTGTTCAGGGCTTGTCTGCACTTATCGAAACTGGAGAGATGGTGAGAAATGTCACAAGAATATTCAGGATTTCTTTATACATTTGAGTGTGCAAGTTTGTGTTCTTGCAAAGCTGGAATTTAAAATGTTAAATGTACTTTAACTGCACATTTTTCATGATGAATTATTAATGATTTACCTATACATAATATATGAAAGTTCCAGCACGCTCTTCTCTCCCTTTCTGATGTCTCTGTCCTGGAAACTGGCGGTAACTGATAGTATACATATACCAAGAACACAAGAACTTAGTGATCAACGTGGTCTTTGTCCATGGTGTATATATGGAGATGTAGCAGAGCTAATTTGTCTTCTTGGTGAGAGAATTCAGTGGGAATGATAGGGCCCTGAGGTGCTATACTATGTCACCCCTGGGAGGTTTTATTATAGCACTTCAATCACCACATTACCCACCCTGTAATTAGGAGTTATTCCCCTCTTATAACCATGTCTTGTCATTTTCCTAGACGAGCCATGCAGTGCACAGTGCCAGCCTGGAGGAGCTGGACTGCTGTGTCTTTTTTTATCAAGGGCACACCAACTGGACTTTAGGCCATTTGGTCGTTACAAGCATCTTTTATAAGGAGTACGGTCTACGGTCTGCTCTATTTTAAAAGTGTCCTTAGATAAATTCAGTTTTGATTTGGCGCTGTACAAATATCCAACCCGTGACCTTTCAGTAAGGTCCAAGATGGCAACATTACAGTGAGACAGAAGGAACAAAGCAACTTGAAGCTTGCTTATCAGAGGTTTTGAGTTCTCTTGGAAAGGATTAGGGTGCTTTAAAGTTGTCTTTCTGCGCTGTGTTAAAGGAAGCCATTCTTCTCATTCTTCATGTGATACATGGCGTGTTGTTATTACATGTTAAGAAACAACTACTTCACCATGTAAGTCTAAAAGCAGTGTGAATGAGTTCAGAACGAATACTGTTGCATGTCTAAAATATATGATACTATACTATATTATACTGTACTGTACTGTACTATGCTATACTATACTGTACTGTACTGTACTGTACTGTACTATATTGTACTATACCAAGGCTGCCTCCTCTCTATTCATTTCTTTTATGAATACCACAATAACATCAATACCAACAACAAGAATTTCAGTCTGGCTCTCCACAGCACAGAACTGCTCTAAGATATTAAATGACTTGCTGCTCACTGTCGATTCCAGAGACTGCTCAATTTTAATCCTCCTCAGTCTGAGCTTGGCCTTTGATACAGTTGAGCAGTCAATTTTAATCAGTCGTTGGAAGGAATGGGTTGACATTAGGGACTTAGAATGGTTCCACTCTTACCTCACTGATATAAGCTTCTTAATATTAATTGGCAAAACCTTTTCTTCTGTTCCATCCTGTGGCATCCACCAAGGGTCAATTCTGGGCCCCTTACTGTTCTCAGTGTACATGCTTCCCTTGGGTAATATTATCCTAAACCATAACATTAATTTTCAATGCGCTGACGATACTCAGCTTTATGTCCCATCTGTCGGTTCCCATGTCCCGCCTCATCACAAAAGGTGACCGTGCTTTCGCAATAAGGGCCCCTTTTTTGTGGAACTGTAGTGTCCTTAAATCCTGTCTCAAAACCTATACGTTACCTCAAAGGGTGAGTTTGGCCAAATCAAAAAACAACAAAATCAAATCAAACCAAACATATTTTATTATTGTCCGTAGCTCAGTCTGTCACACCCACCATCATTCCTGTCTCCAAGAGAACAAGACCAACCTGTCTGAATGACCACTGCCCAGTGGTACTCACCTCTGTAATGATGAAGTGCTTTGAACGGTTGGCGAAGGATTACATCTGCTCCTCACTACACACCACACAGGACCCACTACAGTTTGCCTACAGTCCTAGCAATGCAGGACGCCATAGCACACATCCTCCACGCCACCCTATCTCACCTGGGAGCTATGTGAGATCGCTATTTGTTGACTACAGTTCAGTGTTTAATAATTAGATTGAACACCTCACTGTGAATGTGGATCCTTGATTTCCTGACAGGCACACCCCAGGTGGCAAGGGTGGGCGGGCACTGCTCATCCAGCCTCATCCTTAACTCCAGAGCTCCCCAGGGCTGCATTTTGAGCCACCTGCTGTACTCCCTGTACAGACACACAACTGTGGAGCCACTTTTGCCTCCAACACCATCGTCAAGTTTGCTCAGGAAGAGCTTCTACCCTCGGGCCACAAGAATCCCAAATCACCCAATTTTCACTGCGATTGTACCATATATGATTACATGTGACAAAAACGGGGACACAAAACTAAAATGATCTGCATGATAATTCTAGTGGGAAATGACAAGTGTGTGTGAGAGATTTGGATGATACGACTATTCCTTTTCTTTCCCCTCTTGCAGTTCTTCCATTAGAGGAATGTTGTCAGGGATCTCTGTCTCTTAAGTAAACTTCCTTGAGGCTAATGCAATTGCTGCACTGATGATGATGCTAATCTTGTAAGATTGTTTAATAAGTACCTAAACATAAATATTTAACGTAAACGGTTATGGACAAGTATGTTATAGTCATACAATGGTAAATATGTGGTTTGGCCAAGAGCCGTTATAGCCTCAAGAAACTTTTGTAACAGCAAATGCATGAATCCTATTTTAAACAGTGTGGTTCTGAACAGCTCACACCTGCCTGTGCCTTCAAGATCCTGTAACATTTTTTCCCTGTGTCCAAAGCCTCCATATGAACATAACCACATACTTTTACACGTGAGCATAAATTGATGTTGATTATGTTGACTGAATACACAAAACGAAGATGTAACTGTGTGTGTACACACGTATAGTCTATTTACTTTCACATGTGTATGCATGCATTATATTTTTCCTTGCCTGTGTGTGCATGTGCTGGAATCTAGGCCATCCCTTGTGGCTTTGTGTCTGAGAGGCGGATCAGTCTATATGAGGGGCAGCCAGGCATATGGGCGTGTTTATGAGGGGGCATGCGCACAGACGACTTCATCTTCCTCTGTATGTGTGTGTGTGTGTGTGTGTGTGAGCCAGAGAGAAAGAGCATATACTGTTATGAGGTGCCTGGGTTGTCTAGGGGTGTTTCCACTGTGCAAACACACTACGGTGTAATAGGAACCTGAGTCACTCTCACTTAAATTGTACACACACACTTTCTTTGTAGCTCCCTCTTCCTCACTATCTTCCTTCCTAGAACTCAGAATCTCTCCACCTCACTTCTACGCCCCCTCTCCACCACCTCCAAACCAACACACACATGCACACACCACTTTCACTCCCACTCACAGGGTGAGTCTAGGAAACAGCTGGAAAAGCAAATAGTCGCAGGCAGGCCGAGCCCCGGCCCACTGGCTCTCACACATGACTGGACCTTTACTTGGATGAATGCAGTCCTCACACTGATTTTTCAGCTGCAGTCAAAGAGCACAAGGAGCAGTTGCAATTGCACAAACCTAAAGGAATTCTGCAGCACTTGGCAAACACACCCTTTGATCAACTTCTCAGTGTGCGGCGAGAAGATTGGTAGCAGCGTCACCCTCGTGTGCCACAAGTTTCTCAGGGAAAGTTTGGCAGCTATGGTCACACAGGGATCACACAGGGACAGGGAGGGAGCCGTCTCAGTAACAAGCAGGCCTCTCCTCTGTCCCCATTTCAAATTTCATGCTTTGCCTCGTCCTCCAACTCCTCAACAATGTCATCATCAGCCTCCAACGTCAATAAACTCAACCCGTATTCACAACAAATCAGCTGCATTCTTTCCGATCAGACATGAGGGAATTTGATAGCTGAGCAAAACTGGAACATGGGGTCAGTAAGTCTGCAAATACTGTACTCTATACCTACATTAAGCCCTGTTTTCAGCTGACATAGTCCCCTTTGATTAAAATCCATTAGATTTGATGCTGTGATGTTATGAGGAGTGTTCCAGTGTAGGTCACATATACATTTTGTAATAGAAACTGAATTAAATAATAAATTATGGAATGCTTGATTTCACCCTTTTAGTTGTCTTAACCTTTTTAACTATCATTCAAGAGGCACAGTCTCTGTCTCCCCCTTTCCTGTCACCCTTCAGCTGTCACTGTTGATTAAAGGCAATAAACACCCCCTATGTATGTATATATCTGTATATATACTGTACATATATATATATATATAACAATGATATTATACATTCTCTCTTTTACCTCTCATCCATTCCCAAATTCCTCACGCACATGCTTCTGCTTATTCGGTTCTTCTGTCTTATATGTGTTCCTGCAGGAGGGAACACATCAAAAAGACAGAAAATGTGTTGGATAGGTTTCAGGAATGTGGATGCATTAGGAATGTAACATATAACACAGGCAGCATATAAGAGAGCACCTTACAGAACCATACATCCTATCATAAACCTGAAGGAGCCACACAGCAGCAGCAGCTGTTCAACTAACACACCCACCTCAACAATCTGGGGCTGAAAAATAAAATCCAAGTAAGTACCGATACATGTTGTGTTACTGTACATCCACTTGGCCGGGAGGGGAGAGGTATTTGATGGATTATTTCCACTCATTTCAGCCCTTCAGGAAGTTTTTAATGTGAAGTGGCTGGGCCGGTGAGAGGATACACACATCAAGCACCGACACTGCCGGACTGAATGCTGCACACTGCATGAAGTCATTAATCAGCTCTATCATAATACACCATCTGTGTATAGCAATTGTCAGCAAAAACAGTTTTTTGTTAAAAGAAGAAATGGAAGAATATATACTCACTTTATTTTATTTCAGAATGAAGAAGTATTTGTGTTCCTTCATTGTGGAAAACACTGTACTGCTGTACCATACTACTATCTGTGGCTAAAAAAGTGGTAGAAGTACAGATGTTTATCAGCAGTACTGGTTATGCAGAAAAATGTCCTCTGTGACTGATATGTTATTACATGTGACAGTATTATATTTATACTGATGCCTCAAGGCGTAAGCAGCTTTTTACTTGTTGCAGCCAGTTGAGATGTAGCTGGTTTAGTTCAGTGGTTTAACTCAAGGGCTGGGCCACCTCAGACGGATCACAAGATCAGAAGACAGAAAGAAAAAACACAAATGCAACACTAATTTATATACATTTGTATAAACCTTTCTCTAATCTTTGCTTTTTTAAATGTAATATAGGAAATGTTACCTCTATGTGCCTCAAACATAAGTTTAGGGAGATCATTCTCCTGTGTAATGGTAACAACCCATGGATCTGTGAAACATGTGACAAAGGGCCCAACGTAGACATATGATTTTATAAAGAGTCACACAATATTTAATGTTTAATGTATAAAAACAAAATAATATAACTCTATTCTATGTAAAATCTTCACTTGAAAAGTAATAACTGTAGCAGTCACATAAAGGTTGTGGAGTAAAACATGTCCCTCTCAAGTGTAGTGGAGCAGAAGTAAATGCAGTAAAGTAAAGTACCTTAAAATTGTACTCAAGTACCTGAGTAAATGTACTTTGCAACATTCCACCAATGCTTTAATCATATTTAGATTCATCTGTATATGCATAATGTTTTTCATGTTTATTCATATCAATATGATTAATATTGAAAATTCATTAGGATTAATTTTTGAAGACAGGTTGTGGAGTTGGAAAAATAAGGTTCATTTAGAGCTGTTACAACAATAATGCACATAACTGACATAATGTCTCTTTTAAGGGCAGCAAATGTTTGAATTTTAATTGATTATGTATCTAAAAATGTGTAGACAAATGAAGTTTAACAGAGCTGACGTAGAGCAGAGAGAAAAGAGAGGCTGCACGCTGCAGACAGATGAGACAATAGACTGCTGCGTCACCATTCGACAGCCCTGATCAATGTCAAGCTGTTGCACAACACCAAACCCCCTCTCCTTTTGTCTTCCTTTATTGCTTCATTTCTGGCTGCCCCACATGCTTTCTCTCCTTCTCTCTCTGCTCAGTCTGCTCAGCAAAAGTAATTCTCTCTGCAGCAAAAACAACAGAAACTGCCACAATGTGGTGGCAATAAGCACAGAGTCATGCACAAATATTGGAAATGGATCATTTCATCAATATTCAAATTGTTTCCAGTTGTCTATTGTGTGTCTCCTCTTGTCTGACCCTGCAACAGAATATTTTTCTTTACACTCTACAGATCACAAATATAGATTTGAGGGGAAATGACAATGCACACAGTGGCTTTCCCTCCTTTCTCTGCTTGCTGTTTTCATTCCTGCCACCCCTCCCTCTCCCACTGCTCCCAGATGACCTCTGCCCTAGTGGGATTCATCACGAGTGCCAAAGAGGAAGCCCAAATCGCAGCTTCAAATGAATCTATCTGTGTTTGCAAACACTGAAGATCTCCCTCCCCACAACAAACAGATAGAAGTCGATTTCTGAAAACGCGGCTGAAATTCCAGTCCCGTATTGTTACGCTCCTCTGCTCTCAAGACTAACTGCTCTCAGTTTCCCCCTCTTTTATTTACCACGTCATCCTCTGAAAACATCCCTCATCACTGGGTTGATTCCATGTTTCATACAACAGTGTAATGTAATGCTCCTCCAGGATTGCGTCAGAACCCAAAATGGATCCTCACATGATCGGGGTGCCAGTGCCCAGGTCCGCCAAAGACACTTTCTCATGAGGATCCCCAGCCAGAACAAGCTCGACAACTGCTGCTATGGTATAAACTCCATGTATAAAAGATGAGGATTGCCTTTTTATAACACAGAGCAAGCAGAGCTGCCTAGCAGGGTAAGACTTTCTTTTTTTCTGAGTGCATTTCTCCCCCCCCTCCTCATTTTAGATTTTTTTCTTGGCATTTTTGTCCCTTTTTGATTCAATTTCAGTGAACTATGAAATCATACACTTTCACTTCTTACTGGCAGTTTCCTTCCACTTTCTGTTTTTAAGAAGTACACCACACATCCCACACTTGTTCCCTACGGCTGGAAACTGGCAGCAGGCTTGAAAGAAGAGGACGCTGGTGCCATTCTCCCTCCAGCTAGTCCATCTTCAACCTACCATTGTTGGTTATTTTATTTTTTGTGAACATAGTGGCTTAGGTTGGTCGGTATTTCCTTCCACTGCATGCTGTGTGGTGTCATTTTCTCTGTATTTATTCTGTGTACTTATTTTCTCGTCTAGTTTCTTGCCTGAAATGCACTTAAAGTATCACCTGTCAGGTTCACGTATCTCTCACTCATTTTCTCTTCCACATTTTTGTTTTGTTTTGTTTGTCAGGGCACCCCACAGCTCCCTATTTGCTAACATATAGTCCCACATGCCCATATGCAAAGCAAGGCCTTGATAGCTTTGATGATTTCTGCAGGATTGTAAAATTGTTCACCATTTTACTGTGATTCCAGATGAGTGCACAAACAAGTTCTTCTAGCTGTCATAAAGAGGCCGTTTCAGTGCAGCCATGTGGATGTCTCAGTGCACACATTCCCACTGTTTGTCATGTGTAACTCTGTTTTCTAGCATGAACATTAGTCCCTTCATGAGCATGTGACACAGATCACAACATCCAGAAGCGCATGCTAAGCTCTAGGGGTTAAAGAGAGCACATAGCATGTGACTGCTGGATCATACGTGACGATAAGCAAGCAATGGAGATGAGATATATTGTTATTGAATGTGTATTTGTGACACACTGCTAACTATGTATTGTATAGCATCTGTCAATATTAAGAATATTGATGTGGCTGTATTGTGTAGTAGCTTTTGACCAGAGCTGAGATTTCACTCTCATGATAACAAATAAACCATATCGGTCACATTGTGCAAACATGTGACTTAACATGTTACTCAATGGTTTGAGGCTGTTTTGTTAACTGCATTGTGCACAGCAGTAATAAAGGCATGTGTGTAATATGGAATTCACATTATTATAGTTGAACTGACAACAGTAATCAACGAGTACTGACCCAGTATGACAAGCTCAAATTTGACCCTAAAACTGTCACAAATGTAATTGCTAGTTGTATTAAACACTTATGTACTTACACACATATAAAACATTAAAAATTGCAAAGGACACACACACATTGTTAACAATCATTAACAAATAGAGACAATAGTGAAGTTTAAAAAAAAGATTATTATCATTTAGTTTGGGATATAACCCAATAATAATAAAGAAAAACAGTGGATCAGAACAACCGCTTGTGTTGGGTGGTCTTCTACCGACGGGGACTGGTTAAGTTAACTTGTGGCTGTTGCTATATTGGTCCAAATTGGATCAATTTTGACCCAGTGATTTTTTGTGCATAATGGTATAAAGATTCTCTCCAGCCATGTATTAAGACATTTATACAAATAGTCTGTTTGGAACAATAATGTATGTCTGGTATGGTTTTTCCCCAAATGAAATGTATTTTCCACATTAAAATCCTTAAAAAGGCATCTACTCCTTCAAACCCATTAAAAATTCCAGAATCTATGAATATGCAAATTGTGTTCACTTCACAGTAAAGTCCATTCTTAGTGTATGTGCACTGGTGGCTTCAGGTTTATGCTGCACACTTGTATAAGTTGCATACTGTTATGTATACAAGTATATTGCTGAGATTAATTTCCCTCCTTTAACTCATACATCTGTAAAGTACAGACTGTCTTAGATGTTTTGCTCTCCCTTCCAAGACAACAGGTTCAAATCTGTATAAGCTCAACTTGTTTTTACATTATCCTGCATAATTTCCCCAGAGGGAAAAAGAGAGTGCAGGAGGATTAAAAGAGGTAGGGGTGACTTGAAAAAGTGTTGTTTTCCTCCAGCTGCATAGCCAAATGGAAATCTATGTGTAATATATACAGTATGTGTTCCCTGAAGTCACATGAGCGTGTATGTTTGTATCCATATGTTTAGAGTTTGCAAGAATCTGTGTATTTCTGCCTTGTGTGTGGTGTGTGTTTCGATCTCATTTTCAAAGAAAAAAGAAAAAAAAAAACATAAACTGGGAACCCTGACCGTAATGCCTCGGAGCCAGAGTTATACATAGAAAATTACACACTGCTGTGCCAACCCCTCCTGACTCAAGCCTGCAACACCGGGATACAAGGAGACACACAAACATAGAGATACTCCACACATAAGCTAAAATACATAAAAGGACACAAATGTATCACACACACACACTTAAACATCACATTCGTCGATGCAATGTCCTTGACTTTCTCTTCTCAAAACACACTCAGCATGAGCAGCACTTTGCCTCTCACATCCTGGCTTCATATTTACACTGATGAAGTTCTGCTGCCGCTACATAACCACCCAGCTGTTTTGCAATGCAAGCTGACTCGCTTTTAATTTTTTAAACATGGAGTTTTAAAATGCTGCGAGGTAGAAGAGGAGAGGCAGTATTGTTGGAGCTCTCCGGGCAAAGCAATAGGCTCCCTGACAGGCCCAGGTTAAATCTTTCATGCGAGATGGGGGAAAGGGAGTTGTTTGTTTGTGTGCGTGTGTCACAGGCAGGGCAGATGAAGCTTGGTCAATCTGTGACAACTAACGTTTGAGGCCATCTTTAAATCGTCATGTTAAGGTGAAAGCAATGAAAAGCTGAGAAGAAATAAAACTTGTGCGCGTAAATATTTGATGCAGACTAATTCAGCATACATTTTAAATGTGGTGGGACAATTTGACTCGGGAGAGAGGATAGAAACAGGGTTGGTGAGGGCCCCCTAGACAGTGCTGTTAGCTCCCTGACCTGCCTTGGGTAAATGTTTGACTAAGAGTGTCCCCGCTCGCTGGATTTGTTGCACGCTAGTGTGCAGAGGAGGCCTGAGAGGGGGAGGAGACGCTGACGTCACCCAGAAATCCAACACGGGGTTACGCACGCACAGAATTAACCTAAACTGAACTTTTCATAGATTCTTATGTTCCATCTATAGCCGTTCAAACTGTGCATACACTCCTATTTAGTTATGTGTACTTATGTGGTTCCTTATTTACTTAATCACTCCTGTATGTACCCACCACCTCACTACACACTTACTCTTTTATGTATTTATTTACTTACTTCTGCACTTAATGTATTACTCACTTACTGTATGTACTTATGCTTGTATTCTCGTATTTACACACTTACATTATGTACTCACTCTCTAGTTACCCACTTTATCAATTTTGTGTTCCAAACCCCTGATACACATGTATTTGCTTACATAACAAGTGTATATCAGATGGCAGCCACCGATGGGGATTTTTTTTATTAATAATGCAGAAACAAACCCTGGAGCGTAGGTTTGTAATTAGTCGGTAATCTAGCATCCCAGAGTTTCTCTTCCTTTGAATGGTTGCAGGGGGTCACCCAACCTGTTTTAAGAAGCTGCCAACCTCAAAGAAACCTCATTAGTCTGGGTTTCAGTGGAAAGTTAATGTCTCACGATGGTCTACATGCTGCTCCAGAGGCTTTTCCACCGCGGCAGGAAACAGTGACTTCTTGTAATTTGGGGGCATAAAAATAGAAAATCTTTAATCTTGGTTAAAATTCTGACATTGCTCAGGGGGTTCACCACAGACTTGTACATGGACCTCTTACAAATCAAGAGCATGAAGTCCAGCGTGTGGTCACACAAGTCTTAAAGTGCTAAAATGAGACCATTAACACTGTTCTTCTGTTAGCAAACCACTTAACCTGCCCTAACCTGAAATGGATTACAGCCCAAGACTTTCTAAGCCAATCAGGAAAGAGGAATCCCAGGAGGTACTGCTAAACCAGCATGCCTTCCAGGGTAGAAATGATTTTGAAACATTGGGAAAGAGTACTCTTATCTCAAGATTTAGATTGTTTTATTCAAACTACTGTTCCCATTGGCAAAAAAAAACATATCAAAATTGCAATCACCACACCTATAGCCAGGTTACATATTATACCTTAAAATGTTATGAATGTTCGGCTTTACTTTACTTTATTGAGTTTAAAAGTGTTTATTTTCTGTCTAATGAAGTCCAGATGTGACATTATCTGAACACTTCACACCATGCTTCCTTACAGCACTTATGGGTGGTTGGAAATACCACAGCTAGGGCCCTTCGGCGTGGAGTTTGCATGTTCTCCCTGCGTCTGTGGGTTTCCTCCAGGTGGTCCAGCTTCCTTACCCAACATCATCAAATACTGAAGTTGCTTTGTCACATCCCTCGGAGTCTCATACAGAAGCTCAAGTTACCCTTAAGTTAGCGTCTGTATGAGACGGCTTTTTATCACATGGTTAACTCTTGAAATGATCACAGTTCAGATCATGTTTAGGCAACAAAACTAGTTGGTTAGGTTTAGGAAAAATGAGGATGTTATGCAAGTCACGTGTCTTTTAAGTATGGAGAATAGGTTAATAGGTTCATAGGTTAATAGGTTAATTGGTGACTCTAAATTGCCTGAAAGTGTGCATGTGAGCATAAATGGTTGTTTGTCTCTATGTGTCAGCCCTGTGATGAACTGGCAAACCTGTCCATGGTGGATATGTGTTAGGATTTGTGTTTGGATGGGTGGAAATAAAGCTGGGGATAACACTAAAAATCACAACTCATGCCCAGTGCTCTGCAGGTCTAACAGTCTAATATACCTCAGCCGCCCTCATTGTTCCAATCTACAGGCTGCAGCACACACTGATGATGGTGTGGTTACAAGGTAGAGAAGGGCAACACTGATTGGCTTCCCTTTCCCAGAAATCAAAAGGTCATGAAGGCTTTCTGAATTATCTTCTGTTCACAAGCTCACTGTGATATCTGTCACTAATCTCAGCACGGCACTCTCCAATGTGAACAAACCCCGCTCTCATCATGTAGTCAAGTATGTCTGTATGTGTGACAATAATAAAATCAACATTATTATTACCTGTGGATCCAGTGAATCATTTTCTATCGGTCTAAGAACCTTCTTGAATCAACTGAGAGCATGTCCAACACATATTATCTGCATCGAGAAATATTTTGTCAGGTATTTGGTAATAAATATTTTAGTTTACTTCATTAACTGAATATTTAGAGGTACATATACATGCATTTTTTTTGCCTTAGATGCTTTCCCTTATGTCTCAGTTTTATTTGTCTGACAGTCTCGCTATTACCTCTTCACACACACACACACACACACACACACACACACACACACACACACACTCACACACACACGGTTATGCTTACAGTATGAGCCTGTCTGTGGGAGTTCTCCTTGGTACAGTATGCAGTCTGTGGGTTTTATCAGAGGTGTCCCACCTGGAGGGAGTCTGGGAGCAAAAACACAGCTTCAGACAGATTTAGAGCTCTTTCTGCTCCGCAGGAATGAATGAGCAGTGTTTGTATTGCGTGGTGTTTGAATAGTGCTCTTTTTGGAGTCAGCCTCCCATTGGTAAGTGGCTCCTGGAGTGTGAGGATGCATAATGATGCTGCTGGATAAAAGTCTTGTAAAATGTCAACACACAAATAAAAAATAGCAGGATAAACACTGATTTGTGTGTATTCTTTTAATGATATTCAATCAAAAGTTGGTGTTAAATAGTCTATGACCCAATATGAGAATGTACCTTATCCTATAAACAATAATGTACTCTCATTGTCATTGTAAAATTTTCTTTGCAGACTACCAGCTTTTAATGGGGTGAGAGAAATGGCCAAAGCCCCATCGAAGTATATTTTTTGTAAAAACATAGTTGGATTCAAGTATGGTTTTGGCCTGGGGGTCATTACTCTTCCCGTGTGTGCTCTTTATTCATGACTTTTGTTTCCTGGGTCTTTAGCATCTAATTTCATGCTGGGAAAATAGGGCACTTGAGAAATGAGGGCCACATAAATGTGTCAGTTTAAGAATCAAAA